TGATGGCGCTGGCAGACATGACTATTTTATAATGGCCACACAAAAGGATACTTCACACAAAAAATTAGCCATGTAAAGATGATAAGGTTTTTTATGTAGCCAGCTATTAGACTATTAGTGTTAAGTTCAGGATCATATTACCAAATTTGTTTTAAACATTATAATACTGTTTATGTTGGAATAACCTCATGACAAATAATGTAATAATAATACTAGTCAAATCTTACTGTACAAAACGAAAGTACGCAAGATATACAAACCAGACGTATACCGGGTGCGTCTCAAAAGTGGCTCACCCCCTATAACTTTTTTATTTTTTCAGATAAAAAAAAAAGATTTGGTTTGTTAGTTAGTATATGACATAAATTGGGATTCATTGACGTATTCAATTATTTTCGGTCACTTACTGTTTCACCGTAAATGACTACAACTTTAGATTTCTAAATGGCACTATTTATTCTGCTTAATTACTTTATTCGATAGAATATAAAAAGAAAACTATTTAAATCTTTATAAAAAAGTATAGCATTGATTAAATATACCACCATTATATTTCCGCCCAAATATTAATTAATTACATACGTAATTCAAATTGTGTTAGTTAATTAATAAATTATTCCCAATAAATGTGGATTTGAATCAGAAATCAATATAATAATAATATAAAATGAACGTCTCTGTTGTTACCAATAAGCATTCGTCAAAAAATGAAATAAAAAAAAAGGTGTTACTTTTTACCACACTGTCTAATACACATATAAAATTCAGTTTTTTAGTATTTAGAGCATTTATTATTATTCAACGCAAACAGTCAATTAATGTAGTTTGTAGTTTGAATACTGGAATAATATTAATTGGTCCTCTTTAACAAATATTTAAACAGTTTTTTTTTAGTTGTAATGAAATAAACGAACTGTATCGACAATATTAGTATATTATGTACTCTTTAAAAGTTTGTTACATCTTTAAAAATCATCTAAAATGTCAATATTCCATGGGTATATTGATAAATGAGGTCTAAATTTCTAAATCTAAATTTTAGTTTTGGTTTAGTTTCGTTTGGTTTGTTTGGTTGTGTGTCGAAAGTAAGGTGTTACTTTTTACCACACTGTCTAATACACATACAAAATTCAGTTATTTAGTATTTGGAGCATTTATTATTATTCAACGCAAACAGTCAATTAATGTAGTTTATAGTTTGAATACTGTAATCATATTAATTGGTCCTCTTTAACAAATATTTAAACAGTTTTTTTTTAGTTTTAATGAAATAAACGAACTGTATCGACAATATTAGTATATTATGTACTCTTTAAAAGTTTGTTACATCTTTAAAAATCATCTAAAATGTCAATATTCCATGGGTATATTGATAAATGAGGTCTAAATTTCCATATCTAAATTTTAGTTTTGGTTTAGTCTAGTTTGGTTTGTTTGGTTGTGTGTCGAAAACTTGAAGAGATAGGTTAGAAGTGATATAATACAATTTGATAGACAATTAAATTGTGCATCTTATTCTCATAAAATATACAAGGTGTTCCATTTAAATTATACAAGTTATTGCCGTTTAAAGCTAATAATAATCTAAAATAAATTTTTAGACCCTCTGTATAAGGTAGTATAATTTTTGTTATTGCAACATAAAATTTAGTAAATAGAGATACTTCACTAGAATATTTGGTTTTAAACACTTAAATACGCCTAAACGAAGCATTAAAATTTATTACTGTATTTTGACAAAAACCTAAATATTTCAAAAACGATAAGATTAAAATGCGGCAAACCTTAATCAAATTTTTTAATTAATAAACGATTAAAATAAAACCTTTATTTTAAACGTAGAATCTAAAAATTTAATAACATACAGGATGTTCCATTTAAAAAAATACAACTTTGATATTTTTTATTTATTTGGAACACTCTGTATCTTGTAAAAATATTTTTAAATTTCAATAATAATAATTTTTAAATTTCAGTAATTCAACGAACCCAAAGTTTACAATTTGCAAAAATCTAATCGTTTAGCTATACAATACTCCGTATCGTATCTGGTGAACAACCCTGTATAGTGGGATGTATTGAGAGGTTCCTTTTTAATCCAATATTCGGATTAAAATGTATAGTGACAATTAAAAAAAACAACTTCTATACTACCGGCTGATCGAAAAAAAAAAAACGGCGTCTAGTTGGTTTGGAAATGACCATCAATAACATTCCCCATATAATTTTACATATAAAATGACAGCGACCTTCATTTCATAACCATCGCTGACGCTCTTTTTTCGATCATACGGTATAAGTACCACAGTTAAAGTACAGCCGGTATAAAACTTCTGAGTCATCAATATTTGTGTAATATTTTAAAAGGATTAACCATATAAATAAGTGTATCTATATCCTCTTATTGATGTTGGTAAAAGAAGTAGATATAAAAATACAGCAGTATAAAACCGGATTAAGTAAATTCATAAAATATATTTAGCTAATAATTTAACATTAACACAATTAGGTATTACGTTTACAATCATGGATAAGATGTTGACTTATAACTCTACACATCATATTACTTTTTAAAACGTACAAATAAATACAGTTAATCCGTTATGCCAGAATTTTACGTATGCGCGAATTTTTAAGCCAACAGTTGAATATGTATGTTCTCTGACATGACATTTTACTTCGCAGCAAAACTAGGTAATATATAAATAATGTCTTTCTCTTTGTAGTAGGTTCATCTCTTGAAAAGAGTCTAGAAAATAAAGCTACGAAATAAAAAACTTTTTTAAACACCGTTGCGTTGAATCCGAACGAAAACATCCGCTTCTAAGTGGTTTTTTACTAGTAAAACAAATTTGCCTAACCGACAAAAAAATGCTTAACATTTCAGGAGATATACCGTATGATGGGGAAAAAAACGGCGTCCAGCTGGCTTGCGAATCACGATCGATGACATTCCCCATTTAATTTTATATATAAAATGACAGCGATCTTCATTTCATACTTTTCATAGCCATCACTGACGCTTTTTTTTATCATATTGTATTATTATTGTATTTTATATTTTTTCGATTATATTGTAGTAGCGTGTACCCGCGACTTCGTTCGCGTCGAATTAATCATTTGTAATGGTGGATATAAAGCAAAGCAAGAATTTCCATTAACATACAAACTGGATAAAATTTTCTCACATTTATGTCAGCATGAGAAAAAACAATATGGCGATATTATTATATAACTTGGTAATATTTGAGGGGTAGTTTCATCTCGTTGGAATTTGACATTCGAAAAATCCGTTTGACACAAATAAGCTTTTTACGTCAAGCAGTTTAAACAGAATCGTGGTTAATCAATTACCCAACTTTTTGGAACACACTGTATGATTTTTTAAAAAATTTCAAAACATTTAAAAAAACAAAATAAATTATTGTGATATTTAAGGGGCGTTTTCAACCTCTTGAAATTTAAGATTCGAGAAACCACTCCTTATCGAACCTCTACACCCTACCGTCAATCCGTTTGCCAAAAATCAGCTTTAAACGTCAAGCAGTTTAAGCAGAACCATGATTACCCAATGGTCATATTTTATGAAACACCCTGTATAATTTTTAAAAAAATCTTAAAATATGTAAAACAACAAAATAAAATATACGTGTTTAAGAGTTTTCCCGAAAAACTCACCGGTTTTTAAATAAACAATATTGTAATATTTGAGGGGTGGTCTCACCCCCTTAAAATTCGAGTTTCGAAAAAATCCCTTCTTATCGAACCTCTACACCCTAAAGTCAATCTGTGTTCCAAAAATCAGCTTGATACGTCAAGCACCCTGTATACATTTTTAAAAAATATTAAAATATGTAAAAAAACAAAATAAAATATACGTGTTTAAGCGTTTTTTTCGGAAACTTGACCGTTTTTTAAATAAAAAATATTGTAATATTTGAGTGGTGGTTTCACCCCCTTGGAATTGGAATTTCGAAAAATCCCTTCTTATCGAACCTCTACACCCTAGAATGAACCTGTATGCCAAAATTGAGCCTCTTACGTTGATGGTTTGAGCAGGATCGTGATTAATCAGTGAGTCAGTCACTTAAGGATTTTATATATTAGCTAGTATAGATTTTTCGATTATATTGTCTCCTTTCTTCTTGAGAAGCAAACACAAAGAAAGCTATTTCAAATATCTAAATACAACTATCAAAAACATTTTAGTTTTAGCAGATACGTCTAATTATAAACCGTTGACCTTTGCCGTTGACGTTCTGTTAAAATGACATTACATGACGCCAAACTTCGCACCACATTTTATAAAAAAAATCAAACACACCTAGTAGTTGAATGGTGAAATTTTATTTAGTTAGTCTTCTCCAGAGTCTTCTCATCAATGTTCCTGTAGAAAATATTATGTTATATTATGGGATAGGTCAGAGCAGGATCAACATTTTAAAGATATAACCAAATTAAATGTAAATAGTAATTCGGAACTGTTGACACTTTGTGTTAAAACAACTTATTTTCAATTAAACAACGAATTTTATCAACAAGATTTCGGTATAGCAATGGAATGACTTCTCTGTTCTTTACGTAAGTATATTATAATATTATAGTTTATTTTTTAAATCACGTGAGAATATATTAATGCACAGAAAAAAAAATGCAAACAAAAATGAATGCTACAGTCATATAATAGTAACAGAGTTCTATAAAAATTTTAAAGAAGCATTGCAAAACTTCAATAGAGGAATGATGCTTGCTCATAATATTTTATAATATTGCACAAAATTTGCTTGCCATTACCGGTAGATAATTAATAGGGTTCCTTTCCTCACTAATGTATAAATATTCGAAAATTTTTCGATCAAAATTGAAACAGAGACAAGTTTCAAAATACGGATTTTTTTTTAAATTGTCATAGGTTACCAAGAAATTAACATTTGATACTTCTTAATTTAGTTTATAATATTATACGTTTATGGTAAATTTATGTATATTTTTTGTTACAGGGTATCTGTCCAGCCAATAGACTTAGGTTAATACCGGGTGTTTACGAAGACTTCAGCCAATCCCGCGTTTGCTCCCCCCAATTTTCAGATGGTCCTGCTGACCTCAGCTATCTACAACGTGAAGGCAAACGAAGAAGTTGGCATGTCCATCCAAACCAGGTAAATTTATTCACACACAGACAATTTGGTACCACAATCCAGAGTTAAGTCTCAGTGAAGTGATATTTGATCATTTTATAGAGAAAAAATAGCAATGATTATTGTTGGTATTTTCGTAGATTCTGCAAGTATTTGTTAATAAATAGACATATTAAACAGTTATTTGTTGAATCTACATAAACTGTAAAACCTGTTATTTTTATTTGTTAGCTTTTCCTGTTGACACCATTGACTTCTTGCAAAATTGGTAATGTTTAGTTTATATTTAGGATTTATTCGCTGACCTGGTATTATATTCCACAATTAATTATTTGCATTTTTTAACGATTATAATATTTTCACTATCTAATTTGTCTAATTATATTACGCCTCGTCTTGTAATTAAGACATGTAGTACTCCCTCAGACGTACATACCACACGCTGCGCGGTTCCAAAAATCCAAAATCTTCAACCCTGGCCCGGGCCAGCCGCCCCCGTCGATCGTCCTCTCTCTAGGAACTACCTGCTGTTCGTGTTGGCTCCTATACATGTACTCCGTGCGCATTCTTCTTCGGAGTGTCGTATGTTGCGGTGGAGCAGATACGCACTCTTTGTGGTGGGGACCGGCGTACCGTCATTTACGTTATCTGCCCGGTTTTGGAGGGGTCGCTGGTGCGGTGGTGTCGTGGTGTGCTATAAATTGATTGTTACTCTTGCTGTTTCACATTTCCTAAATAAGTGCGCCTGAAATGACATCGCGAAGCTAACCATCTTTGGCAGATTTCGTGTTAACAGTAGGAGTTTACTGATATAAGTGTCGAATTATATCTTTCAATAGCAGGACCACC